AACCATAAGATTGCAGGGCAATCGTCGGTACAACTCGCTTACATCTTCGCCGCGCTCTCCTTTGTCCCCGTCAGGACCACGAGGGCCTGGATCACCCTGTCACGACAAACATGGTTAATTTTGTATCAAAGTTCCTGCTTTGTCATCTCTCGTCATTTCTGTGTTTCTCTGTACGCTGACTCACCTTTGGGCCCAATGGTCCATAGTTTCCAGGTCGTCCTGGTTCGCCGTCCCTCCCGGGATCTCCCTGGAATGAGCACACAGCACCTTAATACAGGGCGTTAAAGGCCACACAAAATTCCAGCACCCAGAACTCCTTCTCTCTTACTTTTCCTCCTTTAATTCCATAAGAGCCAGGGTCTCCCTTTGGTCCATGCTCTCCCTGCGAGCCCTGGAAACACACAACACAGAGACAGTTTCACTGCATGATCAGAAGCAGCTGAGGTAACACTCCATCTTGGAGGCTGCCGTACTTGTAAGCTCATGTATGTGTGTGTATGTTTACAGTACAGCTATATGGACTCATCCAAACAGTCTGACAGAAAAGAATGTAAACTAAGTCAAAGATTAAGTAGCACATGCTCTGGGTCTGCTGGCTTCAGAAGATACCAGGCAGAATTAGTGTTTGGACCAAATAAAAAGAAAGAGAGCGACATTCCTAGGCATGCACACAATAGCTAACGGCTAATCTGTAAACAAAGACGCTGAAAACAGCATTGGCTTATCTGAGGGTGTGTTAAAGTGTTCAAGAGTGTAATTGAGACAAAACATAAACTCTGTTTGTCCCAATATCTACACATCTGATTGTACATTTCCAACTTTTCTAATTAGTGTCATGGATCTCATGGAATTACATGAAAACTGTTCCATTAAGGTCAGTGTGGTTACAGTGGACTCACTATACACGTGCCAAACTGAATTTCCCATGAATTTCTGAGGAGAAAATGCTGAACTGGGGAAGGCCCGTGAGGGACTGGGGCTAAACCTTTTATCAGCACTTACCGGTTCCCCTCTTGGGCCTCGGTTTCCACGGGAACCTTGCTCCCCCTTCTCTCCAGGTAGCCCCTACGAGAGATTTTCGAGACGGTAACGTGCATTTTGGTAGCTGTCACACACAAAAACACCATTTTAAATGTGGCTACAATGTAGCTTGCCATCACCAGTGTGTGGATGACTGGTTGTGTAAAAGCACTTTGGGGTCCTTAGGGACTAGAAAAGCGCTATACAAATACAGGCCATTTACCATTTACCATGTGATTCAGTGAGCTCTAAAACCAAATGTGATTCATCAGAAAAGAAACACAAACAAAAGTGCAGCATCTGTTTTACTGACAGTAATACTGAGTATTGATCCGTTTTAATAACAGACATGTCACAGTCCCATCTAAAGGCTTAATAGTGTAACTATCAGTATCTGCCATCTGTCAGAGATTCTGGCAAGCTGACTGCCTAGATTGTGTGATAACGAGCATCAAACCACCAACAGACATGACAAATGAAAACAAAGCTGACTCACAAAATTTTTATGGATTTAAAGCTACATCAGCGGGTTTGTAGCACTTTAGCCTTTGCTATCTGAAAACACAGTGTCAAATCTTTACTATTAC